AACCAGAATGAATGATTTTTAAGTCCTGCCAACGGGAAACAACAACAACGAGTTTTATATAGGTGATTTAAACAGAGTAATTAAAATTTATAATTTTAAAATAAAATATTATTTTCATATAACATATATATATAATTAGTTAAAATTTTTACCACTCTCTCTTTTATTTACAGCAAAATTAAACTATAAGAGAAATTTAACACACACACAAATTTCGAATATATTATTACATACTAAATTAAATATATTTTTATATTTAAATGTATTCTTAAATTGGGAAAAATAGCAGCGAAAAGGAAACTGATCGTCTGTATAAAATAGGCTTAAAGGTTGACTTATTTGAGATCGGAAATACGTGAAAGAAACATTTATCAACTGATATCAATGGAGCATGAATGGTTTATACGATTGCTGTTTTCATCATTTTAAATATATATAATTATAGTTAAAAACGAATTAATTCGTTCTACACATTCTGTTTAATACACCTTTATTGTTGTTCCTAAAAATTCTGCTGATAATTATTTAATTATTATTATATATTTTTTTTTGCTTATCCCTAGTACACGTGGTACAGACCATGAGACCATGATAATCATGGTGGGTAGAATTAGGCGACTGCTTTTACTGTAACGTGAGAAGCAGTTCGACTTTTCACTTAGAAATGTGCCAGAGCCCCGTTTATTTACTTGCGCTCTTGAGTGGGGTTGGACTTTTGCAAGAATCGGGGGTTATTAGAGCATTTTTTTAAATCAGAAAAAAAGTGCCCAATGCGGGAATCGAACCCGGGTCGTAGTGGTCGAAAATCAACTGTTTAGACTATGCTTCCACCGACCCTCGCGAATTAATTATTAAAACTATCTATAATAATTTTCTTCTATATATTTACTAATAATTAGCATTATGAATTTGAGAATATATAAAATTTTAAAATGTATATAAAATCTTTGTCTTTTTAAAAATTGATTTTTATTATCTGTATAGCATGGTCTTGTATCCTGGCCCTCATCAGTATAGGAGCGGCCCGATTTCACAACTTCCTGCGAGAGGAGCAATGATATCGGTTGAATTTACCAAAAAGGTGTTTAAACTTAAGTATGCTTTGGCAGGGGCTGATTTCCAGTCTAGACTACAGTATATAGTTTCGGAAGATGCTATTCATGTATCAAAAGTGGATTGTTTCCTTTAAATATGCATTAGAACAATGCGCATCATGTGTATCACCCTAAATATATATATATATATATATATATAAATCAATGTTTGTATGTTTGTTTGTATGTCCGGTATACAAATTTGCAGTAGTTCACTAATTCAAACCAAAATTTCCATACTTAGGTAAAAAAATACGGGGAAGACGATAGGCTATTTAAAAATACATATAAATCAATTATTAAAACTATATATTCAAATTATTATACTTAGCTCACGAACAGCGCCCTCTATCAAAGATTAGATTAAATTATGCTGATGCAAACAAATAGATAATGCTAATAACAAGCAATTATTTAAAAAAATCTTATCTAAATATATATCACTCGGGTAGATATGCACACGGGTCAATCCCGGGGCGAAGCCCGGGTCACCCGTCTAGTTTATTATAAATAGAATCAATTGTACCCATATTTTTACTCATGCAATAACCCACTATCATGGTATTTATAGACAGTCATCAAACCTCGTTGCAAAAAGGAATTGTTTCGAAGAAGTAATTTTTTAGAAACAAGCCGTGTTGATGATTGTAAGAAAGGGTATTTGGGGACAGTTAAGTGACAATGCCTCGATGGAGATCTTCACTGGATGTACCGAAGCCTAAATAGAAGGGTATCCATGGTTACGCTACTTTACGACAGGATCAATGGTAAATACATGTCGATGTTGTTACAACTCTGTGGAAATTCAAGTCCTACACATCTCAGAGTTAAATCTATTCTCTAAACTATTGGTTCTATATCATTTCTGTTATCGATGATATACTTCATAGATAAATATAGGAAGCTATAACACGCGTCATCTATATATAAGAAATAACACTATTAAGCATTAATATATTCCTTCCTGAAATAATAGAAACTTTTTACTATCTATATATATATAAATGAATGTATGTGTGTGTGTGTGTGTGTGTGGTCTGTTTGTCCTTTATGCCTGACCAAACCACTCATTGGAACGCCATGAAACTTTGGGAAGTTATTTAGTATAGTACTGGGAAGGTTTCTAGCAAATAAAATTTTTGAAATAACTTTTCGCTTTAAAATAATCAAGATAAATATTCTAATTTATCTGTTTTAAATAAACAATCAGCTCTAAATATTATCATGATGATACGATGATTTTGTAATGTAGAAAATTAGGAAAGACAAAATTCAGGATGACACGGCAATTTATTTGAGACAAGAATAATGATACAATTCCAAGGCAAGATACTATTCCTTTAACTTCCAATTACCGAGGGAACCAATTAATATTGATTTTATTCAACTTATCGAGTATTTTTCAAGGGACCGGGAAGAAATGTTCACTTTATCGAGAGATTCGTTAGACAAACCTTTACTCGGGTAAAACCCGGGCGAAGCCGGGTACGTCCGCTAGTATTTACATATAAAACGAAAGGATTTAAAAGCATGAATGTTTCCTTTATACATAATACAAACTTCTACTGTCCTTACTGCAATGAAAAAATATATTGGGAGGTCTTGGCTTATCAGTGGTGAACCCTCCCAGCGGTTTCGCCAATTTAATCCACCAGACCGCTTCTCAGAGCTCTAATACTGTTTTGGACGATTCTGCTTATATATGCAACACTGAAGGATGGAATCTCAGAAATGGTTTTCAAGAAAACTATGGACATAAGCTCATAGGACAGTAGAATTACATTCAAATATTTGCATCGAGCAATGCTCTTCCGCATACTCTTCCGCAAAATCCTTTCATTTTATATGTATAGATGGCGCGTTATTGCTTTGTGTTAATTTTACTATCTTTACTGAGATGGTAAAAGGGTTAACAACTGATAACCCAAATCCCCTCAATATTTTTCATTGCAGTAAAGGCAGTAGAATATTTCTTTATTTCAGGATGAGAAATTGGTACTTTAATAGTGTTATTTCGTATACTTCATGTTAACTTGAATTTCATGGGGATAGATCTGAGTTTTTTAATCAATAATCAGCTAAGAACTTAACAATTAACGCTCTTCAACAACAGTCGTTACTCCTTGTATGGATATCTAAGGCGCTTTGAATAAATTATAGAAATCGGTGCAAATATATATATATATATATATATATATATATATAATGTAAAATTCAAGAACACACACCCATGATATAAAGATAGCAATAAATCGATGAAACGTCGAGAAATAAAGAAATTAAAGAAAGATGATGTATTAATGTTCTTTTATACGCGTAATTGAATTGTTTAAAAAGATTTAAAAAGTAGAGAAGAATAAAATGATAAAGATGATAAAGTATGGACTAAAAAAATTCCATCTCTGATAAAGTAACTTTGTTTGCTGCATTAAAAATTTCAGTTGAGCCATCAGGAGGTGTCCTTCAAGTTTCTAGTATTTAGATTTTTTTGCCTATTCAGAGTACACATGGTACAGGCCATGATTATCATGGTGGGTAGAAGTAGGCGACTGCTTTTACTGTAAGTGCACCACATGTTTACACATGTGAAAAGCAATTCGACTTTGCACTTACAAATGTGCCAGAGCTCCGTTTGGTTACTTGCACTCGCTGGTTGGATTGGACCTTTGCAAGAATCGGGGGCCATCGGAGCATTTCCTTTTCATAAAAAAAGTGTCCAATACGGGAATCTAACCCGGATCGTAGCGGTCGAAAACCAACGTTTTAGACCATCCTTCCACCGACCCCCCAGTAGTTAGTTTATTATAAACTGAATACAATATTGTAATGACAGTTGTAACTCAAATTTTATTGTGTTAAGTAGAATTTCTAATGGTCATTTAGAGATTAATAAAAAGTTAAAGCAATTAGTAGATTATTTATTGATAAGAATTCGATCGTTCGATCAACCAAGTTCTACTGGTTTATCAAAATTAAGTAGAGAAATACAGACTATATTTGTAAAATTCAAATGTTTACATACGCGTGTGGGCGTACATAACGAAATCAAAACATTAAAAGCTATTTAAAACACTCATTACCTTATGTTTGAATAAATATAAAGATAAAATATTTACAGAGTTTCTTTTATTCAAAAGGCATGCACAACTCACATATAATATAGATTCACAAAAATAAATTTAAAACTAAATCAAAAATTATAATACAAATAGTTTTTAGATGTGTAGATTTAGGCAATATCTGCGTTAAATTTGCTGGAACTGCTGATGTAGATCATTTCTTCTGTTTATGATGTTATTGTATTTGGAGATTAAAGATTCTAAAATGGAGTCTATTGTATTTGGAGAATATATGTAATTGGCGGGTATATGTACATATATAATTTCATTAAAAACAAAGTAGGCATATCCTGACCAGGAGCACATGTGCTTTACAGATGGCAGAGCGCCGTCTGGTGGAACAGAAATCAACTAAACTTTGATTTAGCCTGTTCCCTAATATTTGGCCAACCCAATTTCTTGATAAATCAAGAAAAGCCATCCACGAACGCGTTTCACGCTATTGGTGCTCGTCAGCGTGAAGCATACTTTGGCCTTAAATACCCACTTTTTTTTAAAATAATTTTTCTATTGTTTTTTCATGTGTTAAACGTATTTACGCAAGTTTGTCCTTAAATACCCATTTGTTGTTTTTTCAAGAAGCCTTTGGGACAAAAAATATTTTTGTCGCAGTGGTACAGCCTACTCCACGCTGACGAGCGCCAACAGCGCGAAACGCGTTCGTGGATGGCTTTTCTTGATTTATCAAGAAATTGGGTTTGCAAAATATCAGGGAACAGGCTATATCAATGTTTAGTTGATTTCTGTTCCACCAGATGGCGCTCTGCCTTCTGTAAAGCACATGTGCTCTTAGGGTAGCCTAGTGGACATGGCATCTGCCCGGTAAGCGGAAGGTTGTGGGTTCGATTCCCGCCCCTGGACACTTTTATTTTTCCGTTCGCCATTACTCTTCATATTTTCACCCTTTCATACTTCATCCAAAAAAGTTAGAAATAGTAAATATTTCTCTTTGAAATAAATATTGATTTTTCACAGAAAAGAAACTTATGCGGTGAAACTTTAAGTTGTTTTATAATCATACGCCGCAGTCCCTTATAATGTATTTATTTATTATTACACTTGTATGTTAGGGGGGGGGATCTATCTGTTCTAATGAATCTGAACTCTAAAGTTAACTCGAATATTTCTTGTTAATGCTGTTTTAGTCTTTAGATAAAAGAGATTCTCTCTCCAGAAGTACTCTCTTATATTTTCGTATGATATTTTAATAATAAAATATAACGCCTGATATATTGAAAATGTGGTCAGTTTATGAAGAATGCCATTATATCATTAACGTATGCATTTTGTCATTATGTTTCTCTTATGTTCATTGATTCTGATACAGATGTGTGCATTCCTTCAGGTGTTTTTTATATATATAATCCACATATATGACATCATAATTTCGATATTTAATAGAGTAAATTACATTTTACTTATTAAATGTCAAAATGAATATTGTCTGTGCAAATGCATATTTTTTCTACTTTCTTTTATATTAATGAATAGGTTTTATACAGAGTATATATATGTGGAATGTGATAAGTGCACATGCACATTGTTTGTACTATCTTGTGTAGAATATTTAAATAGGTACGGAAGAGTATGTAAATGGGGTGTGCACATGCATATTGTTTGTACTATCTTCAATGTATAGTATGTAGTAATCTGTTGCAGGGTATGTAAATGGAGTGTAATGAGTAAGATTGTCTGTGCACATGCACATTGTTTGTACTATCCTTTAGAATTTACATATGGGCATGGGAGAGTATGTAGATAGAGCGTGATAAGTAATATTGTATGAGTACATGCACATTGTTTGTACTATATTCTATTAAAAAAACGAAATAAAAAAATAAAAGATAAAAAGATCAGGTGTTGAAATCAATATTAAAAATGGCATATCCTGACCAGGAGCACATGTGCTTTACAGAAGGCAGAGCGCCATCTGGTGGAACAAAAATCAACTAAACATTGATTTAGCCTGTTCCCTGATATTTGGCCAACCCAATTTCTTGATAAATCAAGAAAAGCCATCCACGAACGCGTTTCGCGCTTTTGGCGCTCGTCAGCGTGGAGTAGGCTGAACCTACTAATTGGGTTGGCCAAATATCAGGGAACAGTCTAAATCAATGTTTAGTTGATTTCTGTTCCACCAGATGGCGCTCTGCCTTCTGTAAAGCACATGTGCTCCTGGTCAGGATATGCCATTTTTAATACTATATTCTATGTAGATATCTGTTACAGAGTATGTAAATGGTGTGTTATAAGTAAGATTGTATGTGCCTATGCACATTGTTTGTACTATCATGTTGAATATGTATATAGGTATGGAAGAGTATATAGATGAAGCGTGGTTAGTAAGATTGAATGTGCATATGCACATTGTTTTTACTATCTTCTGTGTAGAGTATGTAGATAGATATGAAATAGTATGTATATGGAGTGTGCTAAGTAAGATTGTATGTGCAAATGCACATTTTTTGCACTATCTTGGAGAATATGTAGATAGTTGTCGTAGAGTATGTATATATATTTGGAAGAATATGTAGATGGAGTGTGATAAGTATGATTGTCTGTGCGCATGCACATTTTTTGTACTATCTTGTATGAAGAGTATGTAGATTAGTATGGAATAGTATGTAAATGGAGTATGATAAGTAAGATTTCTCTGTGTTTGCAGCGATGCGGCCCATCCTTGTAGCCTTCTGGCTGGCGGCGGTCCTAGCGGCGAAGGCTGTGGTCCCCCCACCGTCTCTAGAAAGTAAATCACATCTTACATCTACCAAAATACAATATACACTGTATCTACATTATTGTCCTTAGTACTTTTTTAACAGACAAAAATATTGAAATACTCATCATCATTACAGAAATTATTTGTATTGAAGTGTTTCAAAATACAAATTTCTACAGCCACTGAACCGAATATGAAATAAAATTAGAAGGGATTGATACCTAAATGTTGAACCCGTCAAGCAAGCTTGCCTATTTCATATAAAATTCCACAACAGATATGATTTAATGTTTTGATTTTATAGACTGCATTTGTGTTACTTAATTAGGCAAATGGTGCTTAGATTAATTATTGGAATCTGCTTTTGTTTAACTCACAATATTTTTAATAGTCCGTTTAGAAGTTGTAGTAGGTATTCCTTTCAAACCAGGATTTAAATATTCGTTATTTCAGATTTCAATAAATTACAAAAATCATATAACGCCGTAACTATTTTTTTATTCACCTGATTAAATGAAGCTTCCTGGCAAACCCTTCTTCAGCTAACTTGAATATATAAACAAGGAAATGGAGAAAGAGAGGGATATTATATAGTTTTGAAGAAGGAACAAAATAAACGGCCACGGGTTTCTTTTATTAATGCTGTAAATTCGGCAAGCTTTCGTACTTTGACGTCCTTCGACAGGGAACTTTCCAAGAAACTGAAAGATAATATTTATATACAGGTAAATATTTACATAATTAGAACTTTTCTTAACTAAATAAATTATTATTATACAAAATTATTTTATCTTTATCTATGTAAACAAATTTGTTCTGAGGAAAGGATGACTACCTTGGGATGCAGGGAAAGGCAAAAAAACCATCTGAAGCCTCTCAGACAAAGATAATCATCCTTTCCTCAGAACAAATTTGTTTACATAGATAAAGAGAAAAGAATTTTGTATAATAATAATTTATTTCGCTAAGAAAAGTTCTAATTATGTCAATATTTACCTGTATATAAATATTATCTTTCAGTTTCTTGGAAAGTTACCTGTAGAAGGACGTCAAAGTCTGAAAGCTTGACGAATTTATAGCATTAATAAAAGAAACACGTTGCCGTTAACTTTTGTTCCTTCTTCAGGATGATGTCAGGCGATTCCTCCTCTTGTAATATAGTGTGTCTAAAAAAGGAATCTATGTAAATATAGTATATACAATTTTTGAAGAAATCGCATTATTGAATACATCGCTGCTATGGATGGACCTGCCTCTAATGAACCACTTCTGATAAAATTCTTTAGATTGAGAACGTAGTAGTCCTTCTGCCATTTTCTCATATGGCCCAAAGTCATGAAAGTGCTAATTTATCTTATATAGAAAGCATCATAGAAATTTCCATTACATTCTACAAAGCAATAAATATGTAATATAACATCCAAACAAAGTTTATATACACAATGTATATGTTAATTTGTTTAATGATTCTTTGATTACTGGCGTAAACCTTTTCCCAAACACGCAAGGCAAGTAGGAATGGCGGAAATCAAAATGGCGTATTTGAGATTGATATCAGCCGAATAATTATTTTCCGTGCCGTTGTTATGTAAATTTAATTACTAATCGTTATATAACATGTATTTATTCAATTATGTATGTTCTAATTACTTCTAGCGCTTAGAATCCGCACAAAACCATATCTGAATGAATATTCTTTCTATATGAGCAATTGTTATCTAAAATTTATTTGAAAAATTTTGAACACCTTTTCAATTATTTCTGTATAAGGTTCATCTTTATATTGTATATAGAAGTATTTGCCAGTTAAAGAGCAGAAAATTTGTTCGAATTCTTGCGAAAACAAAATTAAAAGAAACATTTCACCTTAATTTTATTTATTTTTATTTTTCAAATATTCATTTTTTTTTTTTTGTGTGTGAAATTTAATATATAACATATAACATTGCGGAAGAGTATTGCTCGATGCAAATATTCGAATGTAATTCTACTGTCCTATAAGCTTATGTCCATAGTTTTCTTGAAAACCATTTCTGAGATTCCATCCTTCAGTGCTGCATTTATAAGCAGAATCGTCCAATACAGTATTAGAGCTCTGAGAAGCGGTCTGGTGGATTAAATTAGCGAAACCGCTGGGAGGGTTCACCACTGATGAGCCAAGCCCTCCCAATATATTTTTTTCATTGCAGTAAGGGGAATAGAAGTTTGCATTATGTATAAAATAAACATTCGTGCTTTTAAATCCTTTCATTTTATATGTATAGATGGCGCGTTATTGCTTTGTGTTAATAATATAATTTATGGGCATTATTCATGACCTGTACCACGTGTACCCCTTCTCTCTCTCTGGGGATAATAGAAAATTGTAAAAAAAGAGAAAATTTTCCTTTCAACCTAACACGAATCTAATTTATAATACACTCTAAGATATACTTTCTATATCACCAACAAAAGCCTTTATTAAGCACACGTGCCATACAGGATTCTCCCGGTAGGACAAAATAAATAAATAACAAATTAGCATCATAGTTATATACAAATATTGGGTATTGACCTCGACCAATTATCGAGTTGGATCCGGTGTCTGTGCTAAATATTTTGATTGAGCTGATTTCCAGTATTTATAAAAGGCGAATGCAAAGGGTCTGGATTTTACGACTTTTGCCATTAAAACATAAGGCGAATTGCTATTGTAGCCGGTCTCTTGACGAAGAATTTCTCTCTCTTCTTCCATTGCCGTACAGTAGAACATGTAGTGTGGAAAATCGAGACTAAATTCACCGTTGCATAAGGTGCATTTTATGGTCTTAGTTTTCAAAAGTGAAACATGATTAATTCTCTGTACTGCAAAAAGGCTTCTTACTTGTGCAATGATTCTCTTTAAGGTTAGGGGGATATTGTCATTAAGATAGCATTCCATTGTAGGTGATGAATGAAAGTATTTATAGTGAGAATAGAGCACTGATTTTCTTATTCTTACATAGTCCAGCTGCAAGGACTGATCGGTTGCCGTTCTAATAATTAGGGGGATGTATCTTTGTAGAATATTGAAGTCTGTACTTCCAACAAGCCATGAGAATCCGGTGTTATTAAGTAGCTCTGTTATACTTTTTACCAGTCCGATATTCTGTTTTGAAGAAAT